GGCTAATTCCCAGCATCTCTGTGGGAACAATACATCACTGATATTATTAGTCAGTGAAATTGACCCTTACCATTTAGTGGCTGAAGTTTTCTACAGCATACAAAATCATGCTTAACTCAAAAACACATGTGTACCACATACTAGTCTTGGTGTTTCCCAACTTTTACAAAGTGATAGATACAGTATAAATGCTAAACCCCAAAATAGTTTCTATTTCCCATCTTTAATTAAAACTTAGCAAAAATGTCATTTGTAATGATTCATACACTAAAAATTACATAATTTTGTATTGACCCAAGCCTATCCTTGTCCCTATATTTGTGGTTTAGATTTAGCAAATTGGGACAGAAGTAATCTATCTCAGTTAAAATTGTGTGATCCACCTACTATTTGTTAATTAGATATGTGCTATATGGAAATGATTAGAGACCAAATAAGTGAAAACAGTTGTATTAGGACAATGTTTTGAATTTTATAGAATCTAATTACAGATGTAACACATCAGTCATAAGATAGAGTACATCAATAAAATAGCACCTTATGCTAGAATTAACTTGTAGTCTGTAGTCAAGTAAAACATGTTATAAATGCATTTTACTTAATATCCTATCCTTCAAACTGAAACTATCAAGTCAATTTTATATTCCAAATGTAAACTTTAAATCATCAAATAGAGGGGAATCTTTGARAAGTATATAAAAGTTTCAAATAGATAGCTATTGCTGCTTAGAGCACACAGTGCTCTTGTACAAGCACTGTCCTGATGACTTCTGTTTATTTGCTCTAGTCTTCTCCACAGTTGACTTTCTATAGTTGAAGAAGCAGCTCAGAGAGGATGAGTAACTTACTCAAACTCAGCGACTTACAAATAATGGAACTAGCATTGCTTGCTTTTTCCCAGCCATTCTGCAGTCAAGAATTGGATTTCCTATGAGAAACTAGCAGTGCATGGATTTTAGAATTTTATTTAAATGATACTTCTCTTAAAAAGAGCTGTGCCAGGGGAAGTGGTGCACACCTATAATCCCAATAACTTAGGAGGCTGAGGCARGAGGATGACAAGTTCCAGGCCAGCCTAGGCAACTGAGTGAGACCCTGTTTCAAAATGCAAAATAAAGGGGCTGGGGCTGTGGCTCAAGCGGTAGTGCGCTTGCTTGGCATGCRTGCGGCCTGGGTTCGATCCTCAGCACCACATACAAACAAAGATGTTGTGTCCGCCAAAAACTAAAAAAAAAATAAATAAATATTAAAAATTCTCTTTCTCTATCTCTAAAAAAAAAATGCAAAATAAAAAACGACTAAGGGTGTAACTCAGTGGTTAAGAAAAAAAATGGGTGTTATTTGGAGTGGGAATGGAACTCAGAGGTAGAGTACTTGACTAGCATGCACAAGGTCCTGGGTTTCATCCCCAGAACCATACATGCACAAAAATTATTTCCCAAAACTGAGATTTGATGACCCCATAAAGTAAATGAATTCAGTAGATAGTTGAATTTGTAACTACTTGTGACTCTTGTACTTTAAATACATAATAATTATTATCATATTCAGATACCACTTGAAACATATACAGGAATAAAAAATGAAATGTTCTTTTAAAAGCTGGTTTTTGTTTTCATATTATACACACACACATGCATTTGCATCCATATTTCTAGAAATTTCTGGAATTATAAGCATGGAAATGTAACCAAGAGTTATCACTAGAAGAGGGAGGGAAGGAGACTATTAGTTTTCTACTTTGTAATACTTTGCCTTGAATGACGATGACTTTACAAAACTAAAACTATTTCAGACTAACATAATATAAAATACTACACAGTGTTTCAATTGTTTAAAAATTGTGAGTTTAAATATATAATAATAATTCAAATCATTTGGGGGAATACCAGGGATTGAACTCAGGGGCACTCGACCACTGAGGCACATCCCTGGCCCTATTTTGTATTTTATTTAGAGACAGGGTCTCACTGAGTTGCTTAGTGCCTTTCTTTTGCTGAAGCTGGCTTTGAACTCGCTATCCTCCTGCCTCAGCCTCCCAAACCTCTGAGATTGTAGGCATGCGCCAAGGCGCCCAGCCAAATCATTTTTAAATTGCTTTTACAACTCTTTCAACTCAGATATTAAAACTTAAAGAAACAAGTTCTGTAACAAAATAAACATTTCCCTTTTTCTTAAAGAAAATTGGATGCCTTAAAGAGTTTAAGACCTTAGTGCCTTTGACTGTAACATAATCAGATAGTACAGAAAAGAAGATGGATTTGGCAACATCCTGAACAGTACCATTGCTTTGTGGCTTTATTTCTTTTTGTTTCTAAAAGGATATCAGAGGCAAAAGGAAAGGGAGAAAGTTTAATGACATTAGTGAAGGTCAGAACAGGTATTCAAGTACAACTTCTCTTGAATACTTTAACAAGACGTTGAAGGCTAATAATGTCTGAATCAGAAGTTCCTTTTAACCAGTGCAAATTATGTCCTCAATGGAACCAGAGAAAGCTCCCTTCTTTTGCTTTCTTCTTTCCCTCCCTCCTTCCTTCCTTCATTATATCTATCTATCGCAAGCAGAGGAGAAAAGAGAAATATCTAGGTTGTCTAAATTTTATCAATTAGCTTTTTTGGTGGTGCTTTACTTTTAAGTACCTTACCAGTTCATGTCAAAATTTAATTCCATCAAAATGTTAGGACCTTGTGCAGAATGATTGTGTCGAAACAACCCTGCAGTTTCACTTATAAGTGAAACAGGGGATATGAGTCCGTGTCCTCTAGACTGTAGGATACTGATAGGCAAGCTGTTGGGACCTGGAATATGACAGATCTTGAACTCAGGATTGAGAATTCATGCAAAATTGCAGTTTTTCAAGTTCAAATGGAACCAATATTTACTAGGTGGAGTAGTTCAAAAAGGACTTTCCAAAAATACCTTTCCCCACAGGTATTTGTTGAGTTATTTTGCCTTTTGTGTACTATATTAACCAATCTCAGGAACTTTAAAAGGTATATTTTATTGTACTTTTTATTAAAATGTAAGTTGAGCCAGGTTAACTCTCATGGGTTCATATACCTAACAAATATTAAAAGTTAGAATTTTCCCTTAAAATTGTTCAGTTCCCATGAAGGTTTAGATATAAGGTATCCCCAAAAAGCTCATGTGTGAGACAATGAAGGAAAGCCTAGAAGTGAAATGACTGGGTTATGAGATCCTTAACCTAACCAGTGCATTAATCCTCTGGTAGGGATTAACTGGGTATTAACTGTAGGCAGGTGTGGAGTGACTACAGGTGGGTCAGTCGTGGGTGGTGGGCCTCTGGGGTTTACATTTTGTCCCTGGTGGGTGGAACTCTCAGTACTACCTTGTTGCCATGTCCTAAGTTGCTTTCCTCTGCCACACATACCATCACGTTCTGCCTCACCTTGAGTCCAGAGCAATGGAGTCAGCTGTCTATAAACATAAACCTTTGAAACAGTGAACCAAATGAAATTTTCCTCCTCTAATTATTCTTGTCAGGTCTTTTGGTCACAGTGGCAAAAAAGCTAAAACAATTCCAAAATCCATTCCCTCTCCATTGGCCTTGCTTCTTCCTCTTTTGTTTCTAAGTCCTAATCGGTTTTTACTCTGATGCCCATTAAGTGTCTTTCCCAGGTCATTATCAAGTTGTTTCTTTTCATGACTAACTTATGAAAACACAGTTTGGGTGGAAGAATCATAATTAAAATGGAGAATGAGGGAGACAGCTGAAAAACTCTGAGGACAGCATTGGTCCAAGAGTTCTCAAGTTGTGAAAAGTGGCCAGGACCACTTTTAAAATCTTTTAGTGAGTCTCCGTTGGCTTTAATTTCCTCCACAACTGCTTAATGGGCAACCCCTGAAAACCCAGGTACTGTTCATCACACTGAAGATAGAGTTGTAAGTAAAATAGAACAAATACCTGTCCTCCTGATTTTTTCTCTAGAGCACTTGAGACTGCTGAGACTGAGACTGTCATCATTGTGAAATCCTAGCTTATTAGAATGGTTCATCATTTGGCCATCATCTGCTTTAAACGACTCATCACCACACTCAGTGTTCCATTCTGAAGATTTTTCTGAGGCTACCTAATACCTGTGTAACCCTAAGGCAACTTACACACTACCTCTTCTCAGGAACCTCTGACACACCAAATTCTTATTTGCGTGCCAGAGCATACTAAACTTATCATAGCATTTACAACACACTATGTTATCATTTTCCACACTCAATTTCTGCTTTCTTCAAACAAAAGAAACTCAGCTGGCAAGAAGCATGCCACTTCATCTTGCATCTGTGACTCTTAGTGCCCAACCTGGCAGAGAATGAGCACTGGATAAATGCTCTTTGAAGGATATGAATGCCCAAGTAGATGGATACCTAGATGGAATGAGGCATTTTAGGTATGACAATCAAGAGTGAAAAGAAAATTAGAATATTTTTATAAATGTGAATTCTGGAGACGTCCTTATGTGCAAATATAGAGAAATCATTTTCTAAAATTTACCTTTCTCTAAAATACAGTTGGAGCACATTTCCAACAGGAAATAGCCAAAAACCATAGTTCTGTGAGATAGATTGGTACATGTGGCATGCTACTTTTTAAAAACTACACCTTAACATTTTCTTGACTTTTATTTATTAGTAATGATTAATTATTGTATTATTCCATTTATTAGTAATTATTAATTATTGTTTGCTATTCATTATTTGATTATTTGGATTTTAATGATTATGACTGTTTATTATGACTTAATACTTTCTTATTTTGACTGTATTTTTTTGACAAATCACAAACTATTCATAGAGGCATTTATTTACAGTTAACTTGGCTTTATTCAAATCTTCACTGTTCTCAGAAGAAAACTAATCTTTCCAGAGTTATAGAATCTGCAATCAGTCTTTGATATAAAAATAGACCTTTTGCTCTTGAAACTCAAATCAGCTTTCTTTTTGTAAGATGACACCTATCTTGCATTGTTTAGTTTCCACGAGCCTATGCCAAATATTTCAAATGCTGTGAATACATGTATAGAATTAAGAGTCCTCCACTGATGTCGTTCCTAGGAATCTGTGGAGACACTGTGGCAGAGGATGTGAAGGACTCACTGCTGTCCTCACTCTCCCCACTCTCCCAGCTCTCCCCAATGTCCAGACCTTCATTCTTCTCGTTTGGGGAAGGAGAAGTCTCCTGTTCCACACGGGGGGGAGTCTTATTACTGGATTCTGGGTTTAGTGAGGTGTCTATACAAACGTCTTCAACAGCACACACATTAATAAACTTAACTTCTTCTAAATCAGATTTCTGCTCACAATTCAAGTCAGTGTAACAGCTGCAATGAAATTTTTCAGAAAAATGCTGTAGGTCTTCAAATGTGGGTTTTCCATGTATTATGTACTTTCCATTTTGCCCAATTTGAATAGCAAGGTTACTTGGATTGAGGTGAAGATAGTCGTCTGAATTCCAGTTTTTCCTAATGCAAATTCCCTTCTCCTTGCAAAGCACTTGGCTACACATTTTGGCTGCTAGGGTTACATTAATTAAGTAAGGATTCAGTGTAATCTTCATGTAATCCTGTAGGTTCAAGCAAGCCTTCTGTAGAATTATAAGACAATATCAGGGTATAAGTTAGTTCGCATGTAAATTAATTCACAGCAATAAGCATTTTTTAAGAACAAGCAAACCAGACACACCAAAAGACAGGAAACATTTTCTCTTTTTACCTTAAAAAAACAAAGTTATTTCCACTATTTTTTTAACATACACATGCCATTTCATGCCACTGAATAATTGATCTGTTGAAGCTTAACATATCCAAGCCTTGGTCTTCCTCAATAATTCATAAATTAATCAAGCAGATAGAATTGTACAGCTGTTAGAATATCTGCCCTGGGGTTCATTTGCCCTGACTGCAGTCCCGGTTTCATCAATAACAGCTTTATGAACTTAGGGATTCTCAAGCTTCTAAGTTTCCTATTTTGGTGACCTTGATTAGTTAATTTGGTTATTCTTTATGCTTCAGTTTCATCACCTATAAAATAAGGTAATTTGGGAACCTATCTCAAAGGGTTGTTTTGAAGATGAAAAGAAAACATATATATGAATCTTAATGCAGGCCCTAACATATTTTCAATTAACCCTCAATAAGTTATAAATAAATGTAATAAGAATCACATTTGTCAGACACATTTAAACAGCACTGAAAAGAAATTCCAAATGGCTCAAAATAACCAAACAGGTTCAACTGAGTATATTTTAGATTAAATGTTACATAGAGTCAAATTTTGTGTGAGTAATGACAGCTCTTTTATAAATATGGCAGAGTATGAATGATGAATGGCTAAAATGATTCATCTTGAGACAGGGATGTTTTAAAATCTGGACATCATCCTTTCAAAGACATCAAAGACAGTCACTTTGATGTTCAGCAGTTTCATTGAGTGAACTGGCTCTGTTCTTCCTTCAGCAGACCACAGGGCATGGTGGAGGTACCCTGGCAGGCAAGTAAAAGAGTACTGGCTGCTCCCCCTCATCCTTTTAATATTGCTTATTACTTTCTTTGAGCTGATACCATCTATTGTTAGAGTAATAATGACCTTTCAAAGATGGCTGTACCTTAACCCCACAACATGTAATGATGTTAATATACATTGTAAAACAAACTGTGTAGATATGATTGAGTGAATGTAGCATGTGAAGGGGAGATTAACCTGACTTATTTGGAAGAGTTCAATCTAATGACATGAGTCATTGAAAGTACAGAAATGATTGTAGCTGGTTAGAAAGATAAGATGAACCAAGGGGAGAGATTCAAAATGTAGAAGAAACTTAAATTACCACTGCTAACTTTGAAGATAGAAGAAAAGGAGTAGGAGCTGAAAAATGTAGGGACTTCTCGAAGATTGAATGGCCATTAGCCAATGGCCTGTCAGATGATAGAGATTTCACTACTAGAACCACAAGGAACTAAATCAGCTGAATACCCAGATGAACAACTGGGGAACCTCCTAGAAAGAAATGCAATCTGCTGACACTTTAATTTTAGCCGGTGGAGACCCTGCTGGGCTTCTCCTCTACAAAACTGAAAGGTGATACATATCTGTTATTTAAGCCATTAGGTATTGTAACTTTTATGGTAACAATAGAAAACTAATAAAACCATCTGCCTTCTAACTCTCCAATGGATTTGCATGGAGTTTAGAATAAAAACTTCTCTTGACTTCATAAGGTCTTTCATGGTGTAACCCTTCCTTCTTTTGTACAACCCTCCCCACCCACTCTCCTTCAATACAGTGGTTGTTTCACTAGCATACCAGGTTTATTTCAAACCGCATTACTGTTCCCTCTACTTAGAAGGTTCTTTCCCCCAATTTTTGTCATAGTTGACTCCATCTTGTCCTTCTGACAGTTCTATAATTAGACAGTACCTTTCTCAGAAAGTTTTCTTGTTAACTCATATCTCTCTATTAATTCTCTGTATAGTACTTATCATACCAAATGTTTTTATTGATGCACTCATAAACTCTAAGCATGCAAAGACTTTGTTAATATTCTTCAGTATTACATTCCCAATATCAAGGACATAGAAGAATTTATACCAAGTTCAGGTGACATTGCAGTTGCTTCCCCAAATCCATAGGGGTAGGTAAACAGAGGAGTAAAAAGATGAGAATAATTTGAAACTCATTAGTCTAAATAAGGTGTAGCCTATGAAAGATCTAAAATTGGTTCTTTAATTAATAAGGGCTAGTTTACAGCATTTGAAAATTTATCGTGATGTAGATACTCCTACAATGGTCAATTTTAAGTATCAATCTGATACCACTGAACGCAGAACTGGTAACTGAGTACACCACCATTACGCAGTATGGTGTGCATTATGGGGTAGCAACTATTACATATTATTTCCTTTTATATAGAGGTAATAGATATATATCCAACAGATATAAATAACCTCAGACATGTATTATTAATGTACTAATCAGTACATTTGAATACCTTTGTTTTTAAAATAATTTACTTTATTATGAGTTTGCATAATTTAATTTTTTAACAGTGACAGTGTTTAACAACTGGCTCACAAAATTTCTGAATATTTGTCAGTCAAGTATCACAAGCTGGGGCCAGTTCAAAAGGCTCCATCACACTGCTGGGTCTAGTCAAAAGGAGTGGAAAGAAATGGTTTACATAACTCTTGGTTTTAGGTCAATTCCAGCAACTGCAAGTAAATCTACAATTACCAGTTTCACAATTTCTCAATGGATCAGAGGAAACATGACAAGTGACCTGTGTATCTATTGACATGTAAAAAGTGGGAAGTAATGATAACACTAACTTTCAAAATTATCATAAATTGGGAAAAGTGGCAGAAATGTATAGAACAGTGTCTATAAGGGACAATGTTGAGACAGTGTCATTAAATAGTGAATTAATTAAATAATCCTATTAAAGTCAAAGGACTGTCGCTGAATGATTTTTTTTTTTTTTAACTCAGGATACAACCCAGGGACACTCTACTCCTAAGCAATATCTCCAGCCCTTTTTCTTTTCTATTTTGAGACAGGACTCAATAAATCATCCAGGGTGGTTGGAAACTTGTGAATCCTCCTGCCTCAGCCCCCTGAGTGCCTGGAATTATAGATGTTCACCATTGCCCCTTGCATGAATGAATAATATTGAAGATTATTTGGGAGGCACAGTAAAAGAATATGAATCTAAGATTAAAGTGACATTAGAAAACAAGTGTGACACTTACATAGTATATCATAACATCCTACTTATTGTGAAATGTCTGATTCATTACTCATCAGACTAAGGGTGGAGTTAAAAAAAAAAAACACTAAGGGTGGTTTTATTCCTAAGGAAGTTATGTGGAGTATGCATGAATGGTTCCATCATAGAGTGAATAGTATCCCCAAGAAAGGGGTTCATGGATTTGGAAAAACAAGTAATAAAAGTTGAGAATATACTTAGGAGAATCACAATTTTAAGATAATATTCTCACATATAAAAGGTATTACCTAGAGACATATATCTTTCCCTGAATTTGTATTTTGTTTCTTCTTTCTCATTAGAGATCAAACCGGAGATAATATATTTATATAAAATAGGTAAAAGTTCTGAGACTACTTTAAAACAATTTCACAAATGTTACTATACTTTTAAACAAAGTAGGACTATTGTCAGTCTATCTAAACGAYATGAGACAGACATAATACCCGTCTTAGGGTACAACGTCTATGCTCTGAGGACAGGACCTCAGGCCATGAACTGCATGTGAAATTCTCCATGGGACATTCATCATTAGTATTTCCATATCCATCAGAAAAGGAAAAGTTTGGCTCCAATTTAATAGTGTCCACATATATAGCTTTTCATTTTCATTAAGTCACAAAGATTGAAGAAGGGGCAAAGATCTGATATGGAAAATTAAACAAGAATGAAAATAGACACTCATCTTCTGACACCAAACTCCATGCCGAACACTGAAATCATGGCTTTGTTTTTGCTACTTAACAAGCCATCTAGCTTCAGAGAATTTCAATTAATCTCACCGAATTTCTGATTTCTCACTGGAATATACTTTGCCTTATAACCTAACCAAACAAATGCAAGATGGTTCAATTCTGCATAGATTCATCGAGCACCTACTACTTACTATCTGCCAAGCGTAACACTGATTTTCTTACTTAACACACAACAATTCTCCAAAACATTGAAGGTAGAAATATCTTCATCTGTTTCTTACCAGTTCAACTTACCATACTCCGCGCTAAACTAAGAGTTCCCCATATTACAATTCCAGAGGCTCCCAGAGCAATAGTCTCACCAATTGTATTCACGAGGTCAACCTGGTGAAAGTGATAGAAAGAGGGAGCAGAGAGGAACAAAATGAAAGTGTTATGCACAGGACATTAACTCCAAAGCTGAGCCTGCTGCTTTGACAACAGTAATTTAAATATTTCTTCATCCACATCCCTATTATTAAAAAAGAATAGAAAATTCTTGTCTTAATTACTTCTACTGACAAGAGAGCAGACCCATGAAAAAAAGAGATAGAGCTTCTATATTGTGTATACTACCTAATGCTGCATGGTTGCTGAGAGATTACATGATGATATTACATGAAAGAGAAAATATTCTCATTCTGCATTCATATATATAATGACTTAGAACTACTCTTGTACGTATGACTAAATGACATTAGAAGCTAAGCTTCACTTCCCACAAAAATGTTCTTCAGTCTCACTGCACACCATGTATGGACCCTGTTTCATAACTCTGAAACTTTGCTACTTTGATTTACTTACCTGAGAAAGGAATTGCAAAGTAAGATCAGTAAAAACCAGGCGGGTATATACAAAAACTGGAAGTGGGTTTCTAGCATTAATCATTTTAGAAACCCTAATAGCTTCCTGTACACGATTACGAGAGAAGAGTGCCGCTAGTGAGGATGACTGCAAGTTGCTGTTCAAATAAATGGATGGGAAAAGGGCGGTGCTTTCCTTCCACAACCAGTGCAGATCGTCATTCCTTTTCTTTTCTATGTCAGGGCACGCTCCGGTGTAATGGGATTTTTTGTAGTCATGGTTGTAACAATCAGGGAAAAGATAAAAACCCCAGAAGTGATTTGGCCGAATTGATTTGCCCAATTTTAAAGTCTCTTCCATGAATCTCCTTCCTGCCATTTCAAAATCTTTTTTGGCGATCTTAGTGGCTTCTGTGATATTCAGTCGTAAATTTTGTTGCTGGACCAACTCAATAGACTTTTTCCTATAAATAGTCTTAGGTGACCAGTTTCTTTCCCAGGTGGGCCTCCAGTCTTCCCAGTCAATGACAACCAAGCCCACGTTGTCTACTGGTAGGTAAAAGAAAATGTCTTTCCTAGCTTTGTCCAGATGCTTTTGTAAGGACCCCAGCTGGGGGATTCCTCCATGCACACTTGTGTCTGTCTTATCTATGTGTGGATAATAGCCAAGTCTGTCCGTATAAAATATTGTAATACCTTGCCCTGTGATACCTTTCTTGGGACTTCCTATTAAAGAGAAGAGGCTCATATCTAGCGGCTCGTCAAACTTTCCAGTACAAGCTTCAGTTGGAGCATTCCAGACCCAGAGGAAAGGCATATTTGGGATAAGAGGTGGGGCACTGAAATCCACAGTCAGGCAACATGGAATTAGAAGGGAGATGAACACTGTACGGGATGCTCCATTGGACTCAATGAAGCTCCCAACAAATAGATGATTCAAAGTCAGCACTCCCATTGCAGAATAATGACTATGAAAAACAGTGATTTCTTCTTCCACACTTTGGCTTATCCAATATTTGATGCAAGATATGAGCACAGAAGAAATATAGTGGAATGAGGCGACTTTGATGGGTAAAGAGGTAGAATAATTATGTTATATTTAAATACTCTTCTTGTTTCATGTTTCAACAATGTTTTGAAAGTTGCATCATCTATAAATGAAAAAAAAGGAAATATAATATTTTCTGTTAAGGTACATTACTGTATCCAAGATGGTAAGCTTTACCAGGTTCTCAACTTTATGTGAAAACAGTTTAATTCCATTTTAGCAGATAAAAGACCAACTATTTTGTTTAAGTCAATAATATGATTTTCACTTATGTGTGATACAAATTCTATACTAGTTAACATTTGTCTCATTTTCTCAAATCATAACAGAGCCTGCAGAGAGTTCAATATAATTATTTTTCCTTTTGCCATTCCAGGTGTACAGAATGCTGGACCAAGCAAAGACTATTGAATGAATATAGATTCCAAGTCGAATCTCATCCTTATTTATTGCTTCTTGACAAATCACTTTCTAGTGGTTTGCCAAATATTGAAAAGAACCTCTCATAGAATTTAAAAATTTCATATTTTCCTAATTCTTTTTATTTATTTTTAAGTAGGACAGAAAGGAAGAAGAGAAAATCTACTTTGTCAGAAGAAATAAATCAAAAGTGTGTTCAAAACTGTTAAATCAACCAAAACCTCCAACCAAGTGACAAATCAAAGTAATTTTTGGAACACTGATGGATCAAAATCTTACAGTAATATTCTCTCTTATGTTTAAGTTAATAAAACATTTTACTACTCCACATCTTTTACTAAAAGAATTGGTTTTAGCCTAATAAAAGCAATATATAAATATTAGCTTTTTAATAGTGTTTGATAAGCAAGATTGTGTGGTTATTCTGATTGAGACAAAGTGAAGTGCTATAGACAACTTTTGTAGGGCCATAAAATAGTCTGAGGCAAGGATAAGAAATAATGCATTAATCATCCCTTGATATTTGCAAAAATTACCTGCAAGAAGACATTATTGTTTTTATTTATTTATTTTTAAATTTTATTTATTTACTTATTTTATTCAGATTTTTTGTGGTGCTGGGGATTGAATCCAGGGCCTTGCACATACTAAGCAAGTGCTCTGTCACTGAACCATATTCCCAATCTAAGAAGACATATTTAAATGTTTTGTTCGTTTAAAAAAAATTTAGTTTGAGGAGGAAACAAGACTTTTTCTCTTTAATGAGATAGTACTACTACATGGAGAAATAATGAGAATTATGTTGTCGAGCATGTTGTCCTTACATAGCAAATCACTTAGCCATTCATCGAAAAGATTCTAAAAATAATAACAGTCATAATCTTAAAACAACGATTAGTGTCATGTTTTAAAGATTATAATTTTTCCCTCATGTTAAGAATGGTAGAGTAGTTAAAGATCTTTAGAATTTAAACCTTTCTAAACTTTCTTATTCAGGGTAATGTTCAACAAATCTTATGAGTAATATCACCAAAAAAAAAAAAATTCAATTACTAACTACCTACACCCATAGCTGAATGGCAGGGAGTGGGAAAAGAAAATGAAATAAAGAATTAGCTTTCCTGTGTCTCAGGGAAAGAGGAAATGCCAAACTTAGGAAATTAATATTCAAACCTCAACTCCATATGATCATTTAATATTAAAAAGTAAAAACGTGAACTTTTAGGGTAGAATGAACCCACTGATAAGATCTCTACCCATAGAAATCTTTAGAAATAGGTAGCCACTTCTCTCCTTCAAAAATCAACTGGATGAAATGTCTCTTTAATATAAATCTTCAAACAAAGTTTCAGGGCACAGAACTGAGGACAGCTTTAGAAGTTAGATACAGAACAGTGCCTTCTTTTTATTTAAAGCATCTGCTAGAGAACCTCATTTCCTTGGAACTGATTTAACCCCAAATAATAGCTGACCTTATCTATCCACTAGCACAGGGGTTGAGCACCCCTAATTCAAAAATCCCAAATCCAAACTGCTCAAAAATTCCAAACTTTTTGAGCACCAATATCAAGCTACAAGTGAAAAATTCCACACTGTGAAACCTGGTCCATGCACAAAACTATTTTAAAATTGCAGCTTGGAATGTAACTCAGTGATGGAACACTTGCCTAGCCTGTGTGAGACCTTAGGTTCAATCCCTAAGGATATGTTTATTTAATATATATCTATTGCATATGTATATATACATATATATGGAATCTGAATGTATATATTCCATATACATTGAATCTACGTCACTTCTTATCTCATGTGTTTCTGTACTAAGATCCTAAGATCTGTACTCAATCTAAATCTATTAAAGTTGCCTCCTCAGTGTCCTCCTTGCCCATTTTTTGGAATAATTGTTTCTAAAGTGCTCCAGCTAAGTCTTGACATTCACCAGACCCCAACAATGGTACTGGTCCAAAAGCCTGCTTTCTACGTCCAGCCAACCACTGCACCTGTCTTGCAGTTAGTTTCAAGGCAAAAAGCAGTTTGGTTTCAATGTCTTCTTAAAACATTGGTAAGCCGATTACACTCCCTTAAATATTTTTTTTCAAAATTTAAGAACTTAAGAACTGAATACATTTGCAACTCTATTTAAGATTAGACATTTTATCACTGGAACTCATGCTGGTTAAATCCTTTGAACCAGGAATGTCTTGTCTGAGGAATTCCAAAAGCAGTTTATAATAAAAATTATACAGCTATGTGTAGATACTTACATATGTAGCATTCATCTTTGTGTATTGTAAATCTATAAAATGGGAAARGATAAAAAGTAATTTAATACTCAATGGTAAGAAATGCTTAAATGCCATACTTCAGATTGAGAGAATTTGTGCAGCTAATGAAGCAACATAAAGCTAGTGAAGTAACATGGAAAGGTATTCACCTAAACTACTGTGTAAATTAAAATTAAAAAATGCACTTACACTCTAAATTGATGCATACAAAAACATGTAAGCCCATAATTAAAGAGCTGAAAAAAATTCAGATATGTGAAATAATATTCATACTTCCTGAGAATCCATTATATATTTTTTATCTAATCTTCTTTCATCTAATTACCATACACTTTCTCAAATAAGAAGAGGAAACAAAACAAAATTTAATGCTAAAAATTAGTTTGCAAGGACAAACTGTCTGCCTTCCTCAGGAAAAAAAATAAGGACCATAAATTTTCCTATTCCCCATCAGAATGTTTGTAGAAGGAGATTATATTTTTATGAAAAAGGAGTTGGTGATTGGTATTTTTTTTACAATTAAATTTTATTGTATTTATTTAAGGTATACAATATGATGTTATGGGATGGGTCAGATTTTTGAGATTGGGAACAGAGGGGGAAAAAAGGAAACCAAATTTCTTGGTTAATTCTTTGCTTTTCCACAGCAAATGATTTGTTTTTGTGATAAATGCTTTCTTCTTGAGAATCATGACTAACAGATAAACAGATCAGTCAGGCCACTTTCTCCAGAATCTATCCTTTTGGTATTTCCAGTCTATGTATCTGTTACCTCAGTGGACTTAAGAAGTGAATTCAGACACACCTTCCTGTCATTAAAACTACCATAGACTTATAATTATGCACATAAAGGGAAATTTTCAGAAATATGGGCAAATGTTGATTAAGACAAGATTATAACTGGTGGGGAAAAAAAAAAAAGCATAGCATTACCAAAAGGAGCAAAGAGCAAAGGAGAGAGTCCCAAGGTCTAAGTTATCCACAGGGAGCCTCCTTAGTCTCCATTACCCTATATCCCCAGGACAAATATACATAGTTACAATACTGAACAAATAGCCCTCAGCTTAGGAAGCCTCTGGATAATGAAGGTAGTTTTAATATAAATTACTTCATAAATATGATGGAGTCATGCTTTAAAATGAAATATAAAAACAAAATCCCTTGTTAGCAATAGGCCCCACAGTTATTATCCTTATACATTAATCACATTTAGTACAAAGTGCTTGGTTCACAATTTCAATAAGGAGGCTGATATCACCTCCAGTTACAAGTTTCAGGGAATCCAACCTAAGCATTTTGAACAAACATAAGAGATCAGCCTAAAAGCAAAATCAGGAAATGTGCAAATTTCTTCTCTTAAAAAATTTACATGTGTTTTTTACCATTTTAGCAAGACTTTTCCAGGAAATTTTTTTTCTTAAAACCATAATATTTTATAAATAATTTGGCCAGAAATAGATATTATAAACAATTCAACAAGATAGATAAGTGCCATTTGAAGTGACTTTCTATCAACTCCTTTTTCTTCCCCATTATTCTTTATTATTATTATTCCTCTTCATTGTTTTTTTCCTGCCTTTGTTTTAACTTTCTGAGTGTCTACCAGACATGTTTTGAACCCCTGGAGATTGTCAAAGCTAAAGAAATTGCTAACCCTTAATCTTTTTAACCACTACCAGAAATGCTTCTCAAAAAAATGAAGGAGGGGGCTGGAGATGTGGCTCAAGCGGTAGGGCGCTCACCGGGCATGTGTGCAGCCCGGGTTCGATCCTCAGCACCACATACCAACAAAGATGTTGTGTCCGCCGAAAACTAAAAAATAAACATTAAAA